TAATGGGGGGGGGGGGAAGCCACTGTAATCCATAAGCTGTACTTTGGGAATTTATATTTATTAAATAAAGGTTAAAAAAATAATTTAAAACCCAGGAAAGACTTTTAATACCAATAACAATAATTTCATAGTAATTTTCAGTTTATCCTAAAACAAACAACATCAACTTTCATCTTCTGTCTTTGATCACAGTGCATGAATGAACAATTCTGATAAACACAGGGGGAGACATTTCTGGCCATCCAGGACTTGCCCCAGAGGCTTTGTCCCAGGAGCCTGCATCCCCAGCAAGAGTCTCACTGAGGAGTCGGGGCAGTGAGGGCCCCTGTGGGGCTCAGGGCAGCAATGGAGACTCAGCCCCTGGGGGAGCTCCATCCACTCCAGAGCCTGAGCTGAGCCCCTCCCCTGGGGGCCTCACAGCCTCCTCCAAAGAAGGAGACTTGCTAAGGGGCACAGGGAGCCCCTCAGACCGCCCCTCTGTGGGGCAGATGCTCAGGGTCACGTCTCCCCTGAGTGAGAAGTATGGAAAGAGGGTTCCAGAGAAAGAAGTTGGGGAGAAGGAGAAAATATGGGAGCCATCAGTCATGTTGTAGAAGGAGACGTCCCCCTCACTGTAGTCCAGGAAAATCCCCACCCTGCGGGGTTCCTGTCTAAGGGAAAGAGCCTGCCTAGACTTGGTCCTAGCATAATAGTTATTGATAATCCTCTTCACAACCCAGAACCCCATATCTGGGGACTCTAGATACCTGCCTGTCCTTGTCACATTCTCCCTACAGACCCCCAGAGACCACCAGTTGTACACTCCACTCCTGATCTCCACCTCCCAGTAACATCTTCCTGACGTGATACCCTCAAGGCCCCACACAGGGCAGAGAATGTCCTTCCCAGTGGTGTACTTCCAGGTCACACTCATCTTGTCAGGAGAGAGGGCAAGACCACTATGGGCGGACACTGGATCCAGAGTGACAGGCCCTGCAGGGAAAGATCCCGATCATGCACAGCTCCATCCTGCCCTGTAACAAGGATGCATAACCACCCTCCTAGCTGCAGGGCAGAGGGGCAATGCCCATGAGATGAGGCCCTGTGATTCCAGCCGGCGGCCTCCATCAGGAGGAGGAACCAGGAGACCTCGCTGAGGGTCAGGCCTGTCACAGAGACCCTTGGGACCAGCCCCAGCTTTGTTCCTGTCACTTCAGCCCCCAGCACACCACGGTTGCTGGTGCTAGCATCTGTACCATCACAGAGAACTGAAGGAGAGGCCAGAGCCATGGGGGCACAGGGAGGAGCACCCAGAAAGAACACAAAGTCACTCACAGGCCTGGAACCGTTCCTTCCGCCAGTCTACAAGAGAACACAAAGTTCACATCAGGGGTCTACACAGACTGCACATGTCAGCTCAGCACCTGCTCTTCATGTGGGAGTGATGGGGGAAGGTATTGGGATGCACTCAGCTGATGGATTGTGTCACACACACACACACACACACACACACACACACTCCATGCTGCAGCATTTCTAGGAAGGCTAAGCCATAAAGCTTAAC